GGCTCTGACAATATGTGAGAAAAGATGCTGACTTGTATTTCTATGAGGCCATAGGCCGATAGATGTACGCAGGAGTGATAAGTACGCAAAAAAAAAATTATACAGTTAGGATGTTACATGGCTAATATATACTCCCTCCGTTCCTAAATATAAATCTTTTTAGAGATTTCAATATGGACTACATAGGTAGTTTATACAGTTAGGGAGTACAACTCTAACAGTGATATTGTAGGTGATGCAACAAATATGTCACCCGCAAAAAACAAATATGTGAATATCCTATTACAAGTCAACTTTCAGAAAATAAAGATTCCAACAGATGTCCAACATAGACCCATAAAAGAGTACATGCTCGGACTGAACTAGATGATAAACTCACCTTATTAGACCCTAATACTAACTTGTCAACATTTCTGAAGATAACAGCAATATGGTGCAGAGTTTGAATATATATAGAGATTGTATCCAACAAAAATTACTTCAAGCTAAACAAATAGTCATACAAACAAGAACTTACTTTTCTTTAGTTGGTTGGATGAAATATATAGCATCCAGTGAAGGCAATGGCTGTCTCCGTTTGTATAGATCTTCAACCACTGGAAAATGACTATAATTGCTTAGACTTAATAGGTGACAAAAGCTGCATCTAATGGAAGAATCATGTGCAATGTTACAAGAAATCGTGTTTTGATGGAATCAAAAGGTTCAAGATGCAAGCTCAGAATTGTTGAAATATATTAGCCATCCTTCCCCCATTAGCTTAAACTTTTGGGTGAACTGATTAGGTGCGTGTAATTCAATAAAAAGGGCAACCTGGTGCATGTAGCTCCCGCTTGCGCAGGGTCCAGGGAAGGGTCCGACCACTTTGGGTCTATAGTACGCAGCCTTTCCCTACATTTCTGTAAGAGGCTGTTTCCAGGACTTGAACCCATGACCTCATGGTCACAAGGCAGCAGCTTTACCACTGCGCCAAGGCTCCCCTTCGTGCGTGTAATTCAATAAAAATATTTAATAACAACGGGCATGTAACAGTTCAGGATCGATATGCACGGCAGCAAGATGCTAAGTACCATAGAAGGTTAGCAACAGATAAGGGCAGTTAAGGCAAAACTACAATAGAAACCTGTTGTGGTGCATCGGCGCAACTTCCAGTCAGGCACGGTTGTCGCACAATTATAGACCAAAGGCAGTTCTTTTAGATAACATAGATGGCATTTTAATAAATTTTGAGGGTACACCTGCAGAGGCAGGAATTCTTCAAGCTACCATTGGATCTATTGAAGATTCGTCACCCTCAAGTGCATATAAGGTAGTTATATAGCCCTCGCAAGAGATATCAAAATCCAACAGTTGCCACCGTAAACCAACACCCATAATTTTATGTGATGACATGATGAAATTCCTTGAATCAAATCATAGGATCTTCACCCAAAGACACGCTCCATCAAAATAGATTTGCAAATGATGACAATAACGTCAAAAGGGCTTTTCAATGCAAGACATGTATGAGGTAAGAAAAACTTCTAGGAAAACAGTAGGCATATCGCATGTAAAGCGGATAATCTACAATGAGAGTGCTATCCGCCGGTTGTGGCATTTGGAATGTCACAAAATTTGAAAAAACAACTTCCAGGATGGTAAAAGTTATATAAAATGTATCATCCAAATGTCGTATATGTTCCATCATTTGGAAGGTTCAGGATAACATATATATTAATCCCACTTTTGACAAATATATATATCAAACCCATTGTTGTCTGGGTCACATGATTAAGTTTGACCCAAAACGTTCGAAAATGTACCTACATGTCCTACATCCGTATGTCATTTAGAGATCCTAACTAACAAGCATGTCGGGTCCAATGGAGCTTGTCCAGTTTGCCACCAGGAGCAGAGGACATACGGCATTTATTGTTCCAATGCATGCATGCGAGGGACCTTTGGACACGTCTCGTCATGATACAGATGGTTGACCAGGACCGAGGTCAGGTTCGGTTATACTTGAACATATTTAACTATGCCAGATAATCAGCTAAGGTTGCATCCGACTTTGAACTTCAAGCAACTTTTTTAAGTTGGCAGCTGGTTCTTGTAGTGGATTCGCCGGCAAATTACTCATAATGGACCTGTTCCACCAGCATGGAGGTGGCCACTTTCAGTTTTATCGATTGCAAGCAATTTTCAGGAGTCTTTATTCCCAACGCCTGTTATATCTGAAAATAAATGGAGTAGGCCGGACCCTAGATTCACAAAACTGAATGTGGATGCAGGGGTGAGTGCGACGGTGGGACACGGCAGCAGCAATTTTTGCAGAATGTGTGGACTTAGGTGCTTTGATTGGGAAGGTGAGGCGGAGGATCCTACGGTTGGTTATCCCCATGGACCTACCTTCGTCTCCCCAAGTGCCAAGTGGACCGACGACACGAGCACTAGCAAGAGCTATCGAGACCGAGGTGGCGAGGTGACATCTCTCTTTAACGAGCTTCGTACAGAACACGTGAGACATGGCTACTACCTCAATCGGAAATGCTATGTGTGCTTAGGTATGAAGAAGACCACCTCGGAGACGCTCGGAATGAAGACCAAGTCCCCAAGTACACGGACGAAGAAGCACGACGAAGGACACCACTAAAATGCTACAGCAACCAGACATCTGGCCCCTGGCCCAGATATCCGGCGCCCAAGTCCAGTAGCAACAGCAACAAGGCTGCGCTCGAAGAGCTCCACGAGACGGACATCCGGTCCAGCCCCGGACATCCGGCCATACCAGACCGGACATCTGGACCCCGCCCAAAAATCTGGCCCAAGGACATCCGAGAGCAACAAAAGTTGGGCAGATCCAGGCCGGACATCTGGCGCGTCGTGAACCGCCAGACGTCTGGGCCCCAGCCCAGACATCCGGCACCTATGCGTGAACAGCCGGGCACGAGGCCCATGTACCCCTCTCCTCCTCTCTTATTCGCCCAAGATTATAAATAGGCCTCCCTCCTAGCTATGGTTAGCAAAGTATATTGAGACATGAGAGAGCTTTGCTCCTTGTATCTCCTTGGGGAATCAAGACCTCCTAAGGGAGAAGGATCCCCGTCATACGATCATCAAGACCTGCTAAGGAAGAAGGATCTCTCTAGATCATCAAGACCTCACCTCCTTTAGAGTGGGAAGAACTTTACCCTTGTGCTATCTTCCCTTGATTGTTCATGTTATGCTTGTGGATCTCATGTGTGCTATTCTAGTGGATGTGTGACTTGGGTTTTGTTTGAGTGATTCCTCTTGTTGTTCTTGTTGTTTCTTCCTCCCCCCCCCCCAAGTGTGAAAAGATCATTAATTAGGGTTCCACCCTACATCATCTTGAATCAGAGCATAGGTTGATTGACATCTTGCTGTCCCTACCCCCCACTTTCTAGCCTAATTTTGCTTGTTTTTGCCCAATTTTGAAGATCCTCACAAAAATAATCATACCAAAAAAAATTGTGATTTGTTGGTTTGATGATGTTTTGTTGGATTTTGATCCATGAATTCGAAGTGTTGCAAGTGGATCTAGCTTCTGCACATCTTTCTCCCCATTTACATCCACAAAATTTTTCTTTCCCCAAGTTCATCTTCAAAATTCATCGACGGATCGCCGTCCCCGGACATCCGGCCCGATACCCCGAACATCCGGCCCATTGCCCGGACGTCTGGCGCCTCACGGTTATTGAATCTTGCTAACAATTGCATAAATTTTGTGCCACTTATCCTCACCAAGCTACTTCATAAGCTTTACTTTTGTAGGTGTGAGAAACAAACCTGGTACCAGTTCTCCTGTTATAGCATTATATTTAGTGATACTCGACACATCTACAATCTTGAGGAAAGATAACTTTGGTATTGTTCTCTCATTTCTTACTTACCTCCACTTGATCATGATGGATAGGCCAAGCACATCGAACCCGCTCTTCAAGGAGCAAGATGAAGCGCACGACTACGTCACTAAAGGACAACTTTTCGGCGTTCAACGAGCTCTACATCAAGAGAGTGAAGCTTTAGGCGACCGCATCGAGCAACTCGCCACCGACTTACGCCAATCGGAAGCAAGGAATCGGGACTATCTTGATGCCAAGCTATCCGCCCAAATGGAAGAATTTCGACACATGATGGTCAATCGCGTGTCTTCAACATCTTCGTCTTCAAGAGGCGCCACTTGAGTCGACACTCTTCGAACTCATCTTCCAACGCAAGTCTTCCATGAGTTCGTTCTCATTGTCGCGATGACCATCAAGATCATCAAGCTCCACAAAATCCCTTTCATGGCAATGGTTTGCAAGACCACCTTCGAGAGCGCGAACGACATCGTCGCCAAGAACAAGATGCCATGGACCAAGAGCAAGCTCGACAACGCCAACGCCAAGAAAACCAAGACGGCGACGCACTGCGGCAAGAGCAACAACGCCGTGAGGAACGAGCACTTAGGCACAACGTGCTCCCCGAGAAGCCAACCGCGTCGTCGAAGAGAACAACCATCGAGTGTGTGAGCAAGAGGAAGCGCTCCGGCAAGAGCAACAAGATGAAGCTGCTCGCGTTGAGGAATGCCACGAAAGGAGGAACCAGGCACGAATCCCTCGGTCTCAGCGTCACGCTAATCAAGAAGAGCAAGAGGTTGAAGACCCACCTCCAAGACACGAGGAACGACACCATCGACATGATGACGAGCAATGATACGCCAAGCTCAAGTTCAACATGCCTAACTTCTCCGAAGGCACCGATCCCGAAAACTACCTCTCTTGGGCATTAAAAATGGACAAGATATTCCGTCTTCATAACTACGACGAGGAAGAGAAGGTAGCCATGGCATCACTTGAATTCCAAGATTATATTCTCATTTGGTGGGAGCAAGTCATCTAGCGATGCCAAGAGAAAGGCGAGCAACCCATCACAACTTGGACACAAATGAAGGATGTCATGAGGGCCCGTTTTGTGCCTACCCAGTATAGCTGTGATCTCTTCAAGAAGCTAAAACTCCTCAAGCAAGGCACAAAGTCGGTTGAAGACTACTATAAAGAAATGGAGATTGCCATGATTCGAGACAATGTCAAGGAACATGACGAGCAAACTATGGCACGTTTCTTGAATGGACCCAACCATCCAATCAAGAAAATTGCAGATTTCCAACCGTACTCCAACCTCCTCGAGCTAGTGCACCAAGCGACCAAGGCGGAGCAACAAGTGCAAGGTTACTTCAAGAACTTCAAGTACTCTTCCAAGACCTACGGTTCATATACTCAAGCTTCCACAACCGCGGCACCTCCAACAACTAATACTCGAGCTTCACCAAGCAATGCAACAAGTCAAGTTCCAAGCAACCAATGACTTCTTCGAGTCATCCTACCACAAGCAACTACAAGCCAAGAGCTTCATCATTACTACTCCAACGGATGCTACTGCCAAGACAAGTTTCATTCAATGTTTCACTTGCCAAGACCATGGCCACAAGACATACCAATGTCCCACACGGCGCACCATGATCGCCAATGATGACGGCACCTACAACTCCATGAGCGAAGAAGAAATGGAAGCACTTGAGCATGTGGCCATCACCGTCAAGTGAATGAAGATGAAGGTGCTCAAGTCTTTTGTGACAATGATTCGAGCCCCGCTCTTGTTGTCTCCAAGGTCTTGACACTTCAACACCAACAAGATGAAGACCAACATTGCCATATCTTCCACACCAAAGCGCGCATCAATGGACGTTCCATCAAGGTCATCATCGACGGCGGAAGTTGCCACAATTTGGCAAGCGACGAGTTATGCTCCAAGCTACAGTTGGTCAAGAAGAAGCACCCTCGCCCCTACAAGGTCCGATGGCTAAGTGACTCCGGCACCATTTAAGTGGAGCACACCATTCAAGTCTCCTTCAAGATTGGCGTATATGAAGACACCTTGAAGTGTGATGTGGTTCCCATGTCCGCATGCCATCTCCTCCTTGGAAGACCTTGGCAATTCGACAGCGGCGTCATCCACAACGGACGAACCAATCACTATAGCTTCAAGATGAAGGGCAAGGAGTACGTGCTTCGACCCATGTCGCCAAGTCAAGTCATCACGGACAAGCAAGCTTCAACCCATCGTGGAGAGAATACTGAGTGAGTGAACCACCGAAAAGAGAGTGAACACCACAAGCAAAAATTGAGTGACTCCACAATGAGCAACAAGAAAAACTTAGTGCTTTTAGCCACGAAAAGAGACATGAGGGATGTGAGTGAGAGCCCATCGAGTGTTCTTCACTTTGTACTTGTGTGCAAAGATGAAACGGTGAGAACTAATACTTCACAACATCTACCTTCGGTGTTTGTCTCATTTGTTGCAGGAGTTCGCGGACGTGTTCCCTGATGAGCTACCTCTGGGACTTCCCCCACTTCGCGAAATCGAACACCGCATCGACCTCGTTTCCGACGCACCTCTACTAACAAGGCACCATACCGCGTCAACCCCGACGAGGCAAAAGAGATCCAAAGGCAAGTCCAACATCTCATGGAAAACGGGTATGTACGCGAGAGCTTAAGTCCATGTGTTGTTCCGGTTATTCTTGTGCCTAAGAAAGACGGCAGTTTTCGCATGTGTTTCGATTGTCGTCCCATCAATGCTATCACCGTTCGGTATAGACACCCCATTCCACGCCTTGATGACATGCTAGATGAACTTAGTGGAGCCACCATTTTCTCAAAAATTAACCTTAAAAGCGGCTACTATCAAATTCACATGCAAGAGGGTGACGAATGGAAAACGGCTTTTAAAACCAAATTTGGTCTATATGAATGGTTAGTCATGTCTATGGGCTTATCTCAAGCACCTAGCACTTTTATGTGTGTGATGCACTATGTTCTTCGCAAATATATTGGCATTTGCGTTGTGGTATACTTTGATGATATACTTGCGTTTAGTCAATCTCTTGAAGATCATGTCAAACATCTTAGAGATGTCTTGCAAGTTTTTAGAAACAAGCGACTTTATGCTAACATGGAAAAATGCACTTTTGGTGTTGATAAGCTTGCTTTCTTGGGCTTTGTTGTCTCTTCTAAGGGTGTTCAAGTTGATGAGTCAAAGATTGACGCTATTAAAACTTGGCCACAACCAACCAATTTCCAACAAATGCGTAGTTTCCTTGGCCTAGCCGGTTTCTATCATCGATCTGTTAAAGATTTTAGCACTATTGCATCACCATTACATGCTTTGAGTAAGAAGAATCCATCCTTCATATGGGGACCCTCCCAAGCTACCGCATTTGATGAGCTTAAGAATTTGCTTACGCATGCTTCATTATTTGCCTTACCTAAAACTTTTGAAGTGCATTGCGACGCTAGTGGTAATGGCATAGGTTGTGTGTTAATGCAAGAGAAGCGACTCATTGCTTATTTTAGTGAAAAACTTTCCGACGCACAACTTAATTATACCATATATGACAGTTGTATGCTTTGGTGAGAGTTTTGGATAGTTGGGAACATTATCTTCGACCCCATGAATTTGTCCTACATACGGATCATGAAACGCTTATAAGTACCTTAAAAGGTCAAACAAAGTTGAATAAACGTCATGCCAAATGGAGTGAATTCATTGAGTCTTTTCCTTATGTCATCAAGTACATTAAGGGTAAAGAAAATGTAGTAGCGGATGCTCTTTCCTGCAAGTGCATGTTAGTTACTCAACTTGAATTGGAAGTTATTAGATTTGAGCACATTAAAAACTTGTATGTGCATGATACTTCGTTTGCGATCCCTTATGACAAATGTCAAGCTAACAATTTTTGGGAGCGATATTATCTCAAGAATGGCCATCTTATGCGGACTAACAAACTTTGCGATACCCGAGTCTTCTCTTCGTTTGTTGCTTTTACAAGAAGATAGACGATGTTTCACATCTTGCAAATCTCTTTTGTAGGGAGTGCCCAAGATGATTGTGTCGCACCGCGATGTCAAGTTCCTTAACTACTTTTGGAAGACGTTACGCGCCAAGCTCGGCATCAAGTTACTCTTCTGAACGTACCATCCACAAACCAACGGCCAAACGGAGATCACCAACCGAACCCTCTCTATACTTCTCCGAGTGTAGATCAAGAAGAACATCAAGGAGTGGGAGGAATGCTTGCCCATCGCCGATTACGCCTACAATCACGCAAGACATTCTAGGAAGTCTCCCTTCGAGGTCGTCTATGGCTTCAACCCGTTGTCCCCATTAGGCATTCTACCGCTACCACTACAAGAGCGCCTCAACATGGACGCGAGTGCACGAGCAAGATACCTCAAGAAGACGCATGAAGATACACGTTGCATGATCGAGTACCAAGTGCACCGCCTCGCTACCAAGCGCAACATCAATAAGTACCCTATGGTGTTCAACCCCGGAGATCTTGTGTGGCTACACCTACGCAAAGACCGCTTCCCCAACGAGCGCAAGTCCAAACTCCTACCTCGAGCCGATGGACCATTCAAGGTGCTAGCACGCTACAACAACAATGTATACAAGATCGACCTCCCACGAGACAAGTACAACGTGAGCGACATCTTCAACGTCAAGGATCTATCTCCCTTCCATGGTGATGAAGTTTTTGATCCGAGGACGGATCTTTCCCAAGGGGGCAGGTGATGCAGAGCATCCTACGGTCATCCCCATCGACCTACCTTCGTCTCTCCAAGTGCCAACTGGACCAATGACACGAGCACGTGCAAGAGCTATCGAAACAAAAGTGACTTCTCTCCTTAACGAGCTTCCGTACGAACCACGTGAGACATGGCTACTACCTCAATCAGAAATGCTATGTGTGCTTAGGTATGAAGAAGGCCACCTCGGAGACGCTCAGAATGAAGACCAAATCCCCAAGTACACGATCGAAGAAGCACGACAAAGGAGACCGCTGAAATGCTACAGCGACCAGACATCCGGCCCCTGGCCTGGATATCCTACTTCCAAGTCCAGCAGCAAGGTTGCGCTGGAAGAGCTCCAGGAGCCGGACATCCGGCCCGACCAGCCCGGACATCCGGACACCACGCAGAAATCCGGTCCGAGGACACCCGAGAGCAACAGAAGTTGGGCAGATCCAGGCCGGACATCCGGCCCTTGCCCCGGACATCCGGCGCGTCGTGAACCGCCAGCCGGGCATGAGGCCCATGGGCCCCTCTCCTCTCTTATTGGCCCAAGACTATAAATAGGGCCTCCCCTCCTCCTAGCAAAGTATATTGAGACATTAGAGAGAGCTTTGCTCCTTGTACCTCCTTGGGGAATCAAGACCTCCAAAGGGAGAAGGATCCCCATCATAGGATCATCAAGACCTCCTAAGGGGGAAGGATCTCTCTAGATCATCAAGACCTCATCTCCTTTGGAGTGGAAAGAACTTTACCCTTGTGTTATTTTCACTTGATTGTTCATGTTATGCTTGTGGATCTCATGTCTGCTATTTTAGTGGATGTGTGACTTGGGTTTTGTTTGAGTGATTCCTCTTGTTCTTGTTGTTTCTTCCTTTTCCCCCTCCAAGTGTGAAAAGATCATCAATTAGGATTCCAACCTACATCAGAAGGTCATTTTAAAGCATTCTTTTCGTTCCTATAATCAAGCAGCTCATTTGCTAGCAAATTTCAGTTATTCTAATAAGGCTACTTTTAGTTGGTTGGATGAACCTCCTAACTGTATCGTCAGTAAGCTCATAGACGATGTATCAGTGCTTCGATTTTAATAAAGCTAGCCATGATGACCTTCTCACACGAAAATGAAATACTTGTACAAGAAATGTTTGTCTTTGCACACAAAATAAATTCACGGCCAAAAAGAGATATGGCTACTTACATGAAACCCCTTCTTCTGTGATGTCTGCCATCTTACATGAGTAGGACATTATCTTGACCGTAAACTTATCCATGATAAGAACCTATAAGAGGCAATATTTATTATTTATGTAAAAGGAAGTATACAAATTTTATAAGGTTATTTGCTAGAGTGAACATTAAAAATATGGTACAGCAATTAGATGTTCTCAAGATCATAACCAAGTGTTAAAAGTGTATTTGTAGTGTCTTTAATCTTATTAGAAAGGTTCATATATATGCACCAATATATATAAGATAATTAGCATATAGCCAATCAATAATTGCAACGGAATATGATTTTGGTGCCAATGGCAGCCATGCCCTGTTTATGAAAATTGCATGATGTGTAGTTTCCTAAGACTATATGATGGAATCATAGATGTGGCACTTGTCTACCTGCAAATTATCAATGTCAAATGATAAGCAGTACATGCACTGCATATGAATACTGCACGATGCAATATTTGACATTTAGGTGTATATAACATTAGATATGCAACATAGAAAATTTGTACGTGTAGTTTCCCGTACTCATCAAAGTCTGTTCCTTGGATTTCAAGCAAAGCTGGCTAGACCTAGTGAGGTTGATGCAGACAAAGACATTAATAAACTGACAGCGCTACCTATTGTTTTCCTATTTAAATCACAATAAGAGAATAACTTGCCAATGGATATCGAAGTCGTCCATTTAAAGAAGTAATGGCCAAAGTTTGACATAACAAGCTAATAACATCAGAAACCTGATAATCATTTCTCATAATTAACACAATAGCCGTACACAAATTACAATTAACAGTAAAAATAATAAGGTATAGCTACTGTAATATCAGGAAAAAATATCTAAGGATGAGTTCTTGATATAGCAGGAAAACCATAGCAGAGATCGGTTAACATGTCCAATGGAAAAGGATACCTTCCATGCTGATTTTGAATCCTTCCTAGTCGACCTGAGCATTTCAAATAATAATCCTGCATGATCAAGAAATTTGAACCGTTTGAATAAATACAAAAATAAACTGAACCACAGCACCAGGTTCTAAAATTGCACCAGCAATTGCAAAATCAGGATAAAATAATAAATAATACAGTGTGTTGTGGGCAATAGCAAACAGAGTAAAGAAAAAGTAAGATATAGCAAAAATTTAAGCGGTGATCATCCACAGGAAAATTGCAGGCTCCCACAACTATTAACAACATGAAAGGATCATTCCTTTGTTGTCGTGACACCCACAGGAAAATGACAAGATCTGTGTATTAAACATCAACCTAGGCAGCCGGTTAGGCATTCGAAGCCATAATCATCTCTGTTAGACGCTCGACTGACTCTCTGTTAAACGCTGAACTGAATCTCTGTTAGACGCTGAACTGAATCTCTGTTAGACGCTCGACTGAAGCAGAGAACAGCAAAGAAGAGAATAGAAAAGGAAGCAGAATCAAGCGACAAGAAGAGGCAAGCGGCAAGAAGCAGATGTGAGCAGCTTACAAACAGAGGTGGAGGTGGACATGGAATCAGGGGTTTGGATAGAGATAATAGGCTGGCCATGTAGCCCACCTAGGCACAAAGTGGCCACCATCCCACCTGACAGATATATTCCACCAAGGCTCGCCTAATCCTAATCAGCAGCAAACAAGTGTTTGTGTGCGTGTGTTGGGTGGGTGGGTGGGTGTGGGTGTGTGTGGGGAGGGGGGGGTTGCAACACCGTATCCATGGCAACTGAGCAAGAATGGTAATCCCCACCCCCACCCCAATATTGGGTGTTTCCTTCCCTGCTGGGTCCTTTCCTGCACATACTACCAATGCTCCTATGCAGAATATGCTCGCCCCCATGAGGAAATTCATGATAAAGCAGAAAGAATCATAATTTGTCATTCTGACAAATCATGAATGCATTCTCCTTTTTTCCATAGCAACACTTAATGCAGTTGGATCTTAGAATGTGAGCACTTAATGCAGTTGGATCTTGAACGAGTCTCCAGCTTGGCAAGGGGGAAAAAGACAAATGAAAAAGTTCAATGTCTCTAAATCCGAGACCCCCCAAGTGTTTTGGCCTTGTCCTCATATGACAGGAGACTCAGATGTGTAGGCATAAACCACGGTGGAGCTTACAACATGGCATAGAAAACATTGGGACAGCTTGTGCCACGGATTTAATCAAAATCTCTTTGCCACCAAAAGAAAGGATTTTTTTCCATTCAACCACGAACCTTATTCCACGCTCTTTCCTTCAGATAAAGCACCATTCTTTGAATTACCAACACTGGTAGGCATTCCTAGATATTTGTCAGGAAGGGACTCATTACTTGCTTCCCAGATTTGTATAATTTCTTCCTGTATAGGTTGAGGGCACCCTTTACTGAACAAAATCGAGGATTTATCCAAGTTTATTATTTGTCCCGATGCTTGACAATACCTGTGCAGAGCTTAGGAAACCAAAGTAGCAGCTCCACCACTAGCTTTGAAAAACACTAGGCTGTCATCCGCAAAGAGCAAGTGATTCACCGGAAGTGCCGAAGGAACCACTTTAATACCATGGTGTGATGACTGATTCTGACTTCGTAACGAGCACGTGAGGCCCTCTGCTGCTAAGAAAAACAAGTATGGAGAGATCGGATCCCCCTGACAAATGCCACGAGTCAGTTTAAACTCATCAAGCTTATTGCCATCAAGAGCATTGAAAAAGATACGGAAGAAACCATGTTCATAACAGTACCTACCAATTGTTGAGAGAAACCCAATTTAATTATCATAGCTTCCACATATTGTCGTTCAACTCTATCATAGTCTTTCATCATGTCCAATTTGAAAGCACAATGCCTATGTTTTGCTGATTTGTTACGCTCATAAAATGTAACACTCGTGTCGTGATGATATTGTCAGTTATTAACCGGCCAGGCACAAATGCTCGTTGTTCCTCGGAAATGATCTCAGGTGGAATTAACCTAAGGTGATTAGCTACTCCCTCCGGATGGGGATATAAGTCAGCCACGGGTTTTTAGGTCTTCAATTTGATTAGCAAAATGTATTGTATGTCATAAAATATATTTTAGATGTCATCGAATGAAGTTTCTAAACATTTTTTTGTGGCATATTATATATGTTTTGCTGGTTAAATTGACGACCTAAATTCATGTGCGAGATCATATTCCCATCCAAAGGGAGTATAACATGTTACACTGACTAATGGGGCGGAACTGAGAGAGAAGTTTTTGGTTATGTACCTTCGGGTTCAGGACTAAAACCGTTTTATTAATTTCCTCCGACTCTCTTGGCCATGAACAACTTGGAGAATCACAGACATCCCCTCCGCCCCACACATATCCCAATGCTTCTGAAAAAAGTGTGCCCAACACCTTCAACTGACCATTGAATTCTAGACCTTTGTCGCCACATAGTCTCCTCGCGATGATAAAATAACATCAACCTGTTCAGGGCCTTCGTCTCCTCCTTTGACGGGCCAACACGATTTGGAATATTTCTGAGTTCTTCCAAGCGTTTTTTTCAGTGTCTTAACACTCCCAAAGGTGGTGCTGCCTCACAAATGAAGTGCCATAGCCATGCCATTAAGCTTTTCCCTCACGAACCGAAGAACATGTAGCCTGGTGTCAGGCCCAGTTCATAGCATTCCCCTGTTCCATCGTGCCAGAAGTCACTGTAGCCGTAGATCTGTCATCGGGTGGCTCTGAAGCGGAGATAACGGTTCGATCAAGCGGGCAGCTCTCCTCCGTCGATCTGCTATCCAAGGGTGGGCGATGCTTGAGACACAGCTGTAGCTGATCCGACAAGCGCATGTGCTCTGTTTCTGCTTTCTTTTACCTTTTTCTTCTTGTAATGGCTATAAAGCCAACCCCCTGCGTGTGAGAGGCATGACTTTGTGATTTGGGTGTAAACCCTAGCCGCCTGTGGCGTGCTCTACCAACTTTCCCCAAATTCTCAACAAGCACCCTAGCAATTTGCTCTGATCCTCTGCTAAAATTCCTGGTGTGTGCGTTAAATTGCTTAGATCATAGCTCTGATCCTGACAATTGGTATCAGAGGCCAGTCTTTCCTCGGCGGCGGTAGATGATTGGGGCAGCGTAGAGGTTTGTTCTCGCAGTAAAATCCCTCTGCGAGCTCCGATCGGGCGGCGGAGGCAGCAGGCGGCGGCCGGAGCGGCAGCGTTCGGGTGCAGTCAGAGGACGGCCTGGTTGCCTGAGAGTGTTTCTCGGGTGGTAAAATTCCAGTTCCTGGATCTGGCCGTGTACCAGTGGAGGCGGGCGCAGGCGGCGGTGCCGGCGGCGGTGACAAGTTCATCCCACCCTCCCAACCCTCTATGGTGGTGATTTCTGACGGCCTTAACATGACAGGCCCTGCTGATTCTGGCTCCACAGCGGAGTTGCAGCTCGAGTCCCTGGAGTTGGACATCAAGACGCTGCAGCGTGACCGAGAAGAAGATCGCAAAGACTTTCAGCAATTCCAAGCGACTGTGAACAGAAATTTCGCCAGGATGCAGAAAAATTTTGAAAAGATCCAAGACAACTTCAGGCGCTTGCTGTTAGATCCGGAGCCAGCTACTGGAGAAGAAAGAGAGGAGGGTCAGGGAAGTGTCCAAATCAAGGACAATAACAACCAATCGCCTCAAATAGCTCCTGGACGACCCAAGCAACTCCAAGCTCCAACCCCTCCATCAGTAGCAATGCCAGAGAAAGCACCTCCTGCGCCAGTGGGAAATGCAACACTGCGAGATCACACTGGGAAAGAACTCAATTTGGATGGGACCCTGAAAGTGCCTTACAGACATCCAAATTTTGGTCAGGGTAAGGAAGCAGCACCAAACATTGTAATCCAAATGGAAGAAAGGCAAGAGGAGGAGGTTATGGATCAGCAGTACAGAAGAGGGCCCAATTTCCCTGTTGAGGCACGAAGAAATGTGTTGACAGTAAAGCCAGCTAAGTTAAACATCTCTGAATTTGAAGGTCAGGACCCAGAGTCTTGGATTCAGAATTTGGAGCAGTATTTTGCTGCAGCCAGAACTCCTATTGAGCACAGAACTGAGCTGGCAGTTTCTTACCTTAAAGGGCCTGCTGTACAATGGTGGAGAGGAACAGGATTTGCTCCTAGCAATGTTCCATGGCACAAGTTTTGCTCTTACATCTCTGACAGATTTTCTGTGGATTCTGTCTGTGACATTGTCAGCTCCTTCCATGCAGCTCGGCAAACTACCACAATTACTGCATATGTGGAGCAGTTTGAGCAGCTAATGAACATAATGAGAAGAGAAAACCCTGGAATCCTTGATGATTATTATGTTTCTAGCTTTGTGGCAGGGCTTAACCCATATATTAAAAGCCATGTGGAGTGCTTCAGGCCTAAGGATATGCAGACTGCAGTATGGTATGCTAGGAGGATGGAGAAAGCCCAGGTTCCAGCTACTGTAGTGCAAACTAAACCTTATGTCCCTCAACCTAGAAGGCAAGTAGTATTTGATCAGCCCAAAAACCCTGTTAATACTGCCACACCAAACAGAAACACTATTATCCAGCAGGCAAAACAAAACCAAGTGTGTTATAAGTGCAGAGAGCCTTGGGTGCCTGGTCATAGACAGGTCTATAAAATGAGCCAGAGAGCTCAGATCCAAGCACTGCAAGTTGATGAAGTTGACAATCCTGAAACAATCTATGTTACAGATTTTGATGACCCTGATTTGGAAACACTGGAACAACCACCTGGTGAAGCAGTATTGAAAGTGTCAATGCATGCTGCTATGGGAATAGGAGCAACTAAGAACACATAATGCTTATGGAAAACCCTGGAAACGTTGTACTCCGGGAAAGGGAACATAATGCTTATGGCACAGATTGAGGATAGAGTAAATGAACTAAAACAAGGGGATAAGTCGGTGATGGAGTATGTAGCAGAATTGCAGCATTTGTGGGCTGACTTAGACCACTATGATCCACTGGAGTTACCACATTCAGAATGTACAGTTGCT